CAGGGCTGCGGCGCTGATATAAGCCGGGTGCCTGCAAACGTGCAGGCCTCCTGAACCTGCACGTTTGCAGGCGAAATGGGCGGGGTTACTAGCTGGATGGAGTGACCAGCTCCGAATACGTTCCTTCTGGATCGGGCTTCTCACTCCGGAGGAAGTAGTCTTTTGCACTACAACTTAGAGGTTTGCCTAGTGTGGGGACCCACACTAGTATGTCCCCGTATGCCATCATAATCTCGTCAACTCCCTATTTGGGTAGACGGTGCCTCTAAGCTTATTCTCGCGCTCGTCACCTTCAGCACACTCACGTTGATGGGCGGAGCCACCATCACCACTTCTGCCTTCTGAAGCGATTATGTGCTTTTGAATGTATCTCTTGCAGCGAGGCTTGGGCGATTATTACCTAGTTGGGGGCCTGCTGACGTAACGCATCAAAATCTCACCACTATCAATTCGAGTAAACAATGCCGGTAAGAGCTGGCTGAGAGTTTAACTCAGATACTGACCTGAGATGGTGTACCCAAGCATCCGCCCACTTCTCCAACTAATATTTCCATGAGCCAACCATATTCAACAACGGCCATATCCCAGGGGCAGTCTTCAGATGAGAACATAGCGTGACCCCTGCAATACAGATCTATACTCTAAAATTGTGGTGAGGTGATTTTCATTGACATCTACCGAAACTGTAAGCCAGAAAGAGTCATGTATCCATCGCTTTGGACTGCCGAAACTCGTTCAAAATAAGCAGCACAAGGCCCCACGCCAATCTGTAGAATATAACAAAAGTTCTGCAGGATCTGATTATACAACCACGCTCTAACCTGAATCAACGTCTCGCTAAAACCTTTCTTGATAAGAACGGCAATCTCCTCCGTGTACAACACAGGACATAGCTCTGCAAAAGAATGTTGGAAACCCGACTGTTTAAACTGCTTAGTGTGATTCAATTTTAGCCAAACCTTTTTCTTCAGAACAAGGACCGTATGTGAGACAGTGCGCCCTGATATTGAAAACTCTCATGTCAAACGTCACTTCCATTGGCCGATACTTCTCCACAGAAGCGTTTGGAGCCACACGACTGTAAATGGAGCGGTTGGCCGCCGGATCTCCAGGTTGAGTGACATCCGTCATCTTAAGTGAAGGTGGAGATAGAGCGCGCATCCGAAGAGCATCTTCACGAGGCAACTCACCGAATCGTACAGTCCAAAATAATTGTTTTTCAGCTCGATCACACACTTAATCAGTGCCCCAGTAAATTGTACCTCAGACCCACCTATTTCCAATTTTACATCCATCTTATCAGGCGGAAGCTTAATGAAAAAGACTTGAAAGACCAGAACTGACAAATGTAAACCGGCATACATCTTTTGGGTGTTCTACTGGTTTTGGAAGAAATTCTTGCAGAACATGGAATGGTATATCAGATTTGAACTTCGG